AGGAAAGGAATGACCAACTAAACGTGCATTATTATACCTCAACTCTGGTACATCAGTCGTAGCAACTATACTTTTGGATAGTTTTTTTCTTGATCAACTAGGAGCATGTGGAGTGGAATTTAAATCCCAGACAACAATGGATTGAAAAGTCAAACAAGGAGACAGTGAAGTTAGTGCAGCTTATTTATAGTCTTTTTCAATGTTTTAGGGTGAACATCAGGTAAGCTGTAGCACATAATTCATTATGCTGCATCGTTTCTATAATTATATTATTCATCAATATCTGAAAGTTGAAGTTTTAATTAACATTGCATATGTCTTGTAGATTGAAGGAACTAATAATGATTTAGTTCAATTATTTTTAAATACTTCTCATTATCTGCTAATTGCTTTATGTTAGACATTGTGATTTAAAGTTGACGCATGAAAGTAATCCAACTGCAGCTGATTGACCCAGTGGACAAAACAGCGGATCGTGATCTTGCACTTGTTAAGGAACTGGGTTTGAAGATTATATATGCTATAAACACACATGTACATGCTGATCATGTCACTGGCTCTGGCTTGATCAAGGTTGGGCTTAATCTTCTTAAATTTGGAAAACTAATTAGTTTATCTGTAAATGATTGTTTGCTTGATACTGCTTTTCCATTTCCCCAGCTGATTTTATAAAGGTTCATTATAATTTTCGATCTCGCAGACAAAGTTCCCTGGTGTGAAATCAATCATATCCAAAGCAAGCAATGCAAAAGCTGATCTTTTTGTTGAACCTGGTGATAAGATCTACTTTGGTGATATTTTTCTGGAGGTATACAGACGACTGAAGTGTTTTAACTTTAGATTTTTCCAAATAGCTTTAGAGATAGAAAATTATGTCAATGATTACGGTTCTATAGTATTTCCTTTTGCAAGGAAAAGTTAGTTCAACGTTAGGAAAATCACCTTGTTCTAAATGTTTGAACCATGTTCTAAATGTCTGAACATTTATATGTACTACAAAAACATTTATGGGGTTGAGCGTAACGGTTCTTGAAAATTATGTCAATGATTACGGTTCTATAGTATTTCCTTTGCAAGGAAAAGTTAGTTCAATGTTAGGAAATCACCATGTTCTAAATGTCTGAACATTTGTGTGTACTACAAAAACATTTATGGGGCTGTGCCTAACGGTTCTTGAACAACTTGCAAATTCAGGATCATTTTACCTTTGCTTAAATTCTTGGTTTTGTGAAAAGATCTATGTTTAACATCATTCGGGTAACATGGAATTCGAGCATTATGGCTAATTTAATCTTTCATTTAATTTCATCTTTGAAATAATTAAGATGCTCAATTTCAATTTTCAACTCGTCGTACAAATTTCTTTGAGAGAAATGTTTATGATCTTATTAGTTGAATCGTGTTTGGTCTTCAGTCACTGAAATGTTTGACTTAGTGACATGTCATCTCAGTAAAGACGTCAATGACACAATTAAATGATTAATACATTTCCTTAAAACTTTCTTTGAACTGCACTTTTTTCTAGTTCATCTCAGCTTAGAACCATTCTATAACTGTCATTTTCTACCTCTCTAACACTTTCAACATTGTCTTTTCCCCGTTTCCGTGCTAGTCATATTGCACCAAATAGAATTGTATAAGATAAATATGAGCCTGAAAAATCAACTAAACTAGGCTGTGGTGCAGGAACAGTTGCTGGAAGTTAACTATATCTTTGAGCCGTTTTGTAATGTAATAGTGCTTCCATTGCAGGTTCGTGCAACTCCTGGTCATACACTAGGGTGTGTTAGCTATGTCACAGGAGATGGACCCAATCAACCTCAACCAAGGATGGCCTTTACTGGTGATGCCCTTTTGATACGTGGATGTGGAAGGACAGACTTTCAGGTACATCCTCTCTATGCAATGTGTCATGCAATTTGCTGACTTTTAGTGGACCTTTGACTAAAGGGAAAAGTTTGATAATGCATACAACTCATTTATTTATCTGCTAAACTCTTAAGATTGCTTTTCTAGCTAACATTAGCTAAACAATGTGGTTAGATAGATAAGACTATTCTTTAGCTAACTAAGGGGATTAAACTAGAAAATAATAGGATAATGTCAAGTTCGAAACCCCTTGCCTTCGGGGTGGCCCATTGGTTTGGGCTTGGGACTTCCATGGGTCGAGCTTGTCGCACCGGGCTTGCCTAGTGCGTGTTACCTCTCCTATGTGGTTTGCGAGCTATTGCATAGAAGCGTTTTACCCTGTGCGCACCCAAAGGGTAGCGGCTGCGGGTTTCCGTTGTCATCAAAAATAAATAAAAATAATAGGATAATGTCAAATGTCATTGTTGATAACATCATATTTGGTCTTGATAATATCCCTACCTGAGATGGTGGGACAAAGAAAGCTACAATCCATGCTTGTAGCATCCTTATCTTGGATGCCATCCATACATGATACTGAATTGAGAACAGATTATTTCAGTTGACAAATTTTCTCTTTCCAATGGACTATGGTCCACACTCTCTTTATCTTTTATCCTTCTTTAAAAATAATTCTCCTTGTACATTTTGAAAGTTAAATTTATCTGACAAAACAGTATTAAGTCTTCCAGGGATTGGGTCATAGGTTTTGTGAACAGTAGTAAGTCTTGATGCATCGGCTTTTCTTATTTTACTTATCATCTTGTTTATCAAGGAATGACTTTATTTGTTTGGGCTTAGAGGTGGATACTGGGATATGAAAATTTTCTGTATAATATCAATACTTTTCTTACTTGTGACAGGGTGGAAGTTCAGACAAATTGTATGATTCAGTTCATTCACAGGCAAGGACATAAAAACTGTTACGTATTTTTAACGCGAAAGAGAAAAAAAAAACAGCATACTATGATGCCGAATTTTCTTCTATTCTTTCTGATTCATCATCTTTTTGTGAGAACAGATTTTCACATTGCCTAAAGACACATTGTTATATCCTGCTCACGACTACAAAGGGTTCACCGTAAGGATACATCCATTAGTTGTTCACTATTAATTTGCATATTTCAGTTGCTTGTTTACAAGTGTATATATTTTATTTTCAGGTCAGCACAGTGGGAGAGGAGATGCTATACAATCCACGCCTATCAAAAGATAAGGTACTTTTCTGGCAAGAAGTTTTTACCTAAGTTTCAAGACTAGGCTAAATTTAGTCTATGTAGTTAAAAAGTGGAAACACTTGCTGAATCAACAGCCTACTTTAGTTGAACTCTGAAACGAAAAAGTTCCTTGTGTTTGCCGAATAGTAATAGACGAAAGCACATTTGAGTATAGAGTTATTTTGTTTTTCTTATTTGTTGTTCAAATTTAGAAATCTTGCTGTCATATGAAGACCTCTTTCTACAATCATTTCAGCTCTCCTTTGAAACTAGTTTGAGTACTCATGTTTTTTCTGAAACATTCTTTACAGGAAACATTCAAAAACATCATGCAGAGTAAGCCATTCTACCTCGTTGTTTTTCTTTTCTTTTGTAATTTTCTCATTGCTTGCTGATGATAGCATCTTCTATAACAGATTTGAATTTGTCATATCCAAAAATGATGGACGTCGCAGTTCCAGCTAACATGGTTTGTGGATTACAAGAGACAAAATCAGAAGCATGCTAAATTCTTCTTTCATGGTCACCACGAATGTAAATGGGAAGCAAGGTATACACGTTTGAAGTGAAAGTTAACGAAATAATGTTTAGCTGGAGAAGTTGAATAAGATATTCCACAATATAGTTTCAAGAAGCTATGTAGTTTTAATTGATAAGAATCTTGAATATATGTATGTAACTTGATTTCTGAGATGGGAATAATGAAAGTGAAATTTATCAGTTGCTGCATTTTCTGAATTATAGTAGCAATTCAGATCCAAGTTTATGCCTGAGTGTTATACTGTGTAGAACAATGCAAGGAGAATTTGTTCATATAAAAAAGAAGAAAAATTACGACCTTAACGGATTTGCGCCGGGAAGTTCCACATTTGGGGAAGCAAAGTGCTTCATCATGTCGATTCCGTATTCATAGGAACTTGGGGATTCAAAATTGAGACCTCTAATTAAGACGAAGAAGTACTACTGCAACCCTTGTTGCTTATCATTGACTGCACTGTCAAGGAGACTTTGGAGGACAAAAAACAACAGGTCCCAGTGTTCCCATGTTCTATGCCAAAACTGAAATAATTGTAGATAGAGAATATGAGTCTTGACAATGAAGTATCAATAATTAGGTGAGAAATAAATAAGGACAAATTTTTAAATCAAAATTATAATATTATAAAATGAGTAGAGAACCAATAAAAGATGAGAAATAGAAATTAGAAAATATCAAACTCCTATTTCATTTCAGTTATTTATGATTCTATAATTAGTATTATAGACTTTACAACTGAAAACTATGATCAAAACACTATCTTCATACTTTATCCTTCTTCTTGTATGATTATTATGTGACTTACATCCAACTAAACACTTCAAAATAGTTCAAAACATAGACTTCTGTTATTACCAAAGATAAATTCAAAATTTAAATTTGTAAACTTAAGTATTCTTAACACTAAATTCATTGTAATTTTGAGTTTAGATTTTATATTTTCAAAAATTATAGTGATTTTTTACACATATTTAAACTCAATATAAAAAATATTAAGATGAATTCATTAATTATGTGAATTATTTTTTAAACTATTAATAAATCTTGTTGTATTTTTTTTTATTTACATGAATATCAATTAGTAATATTTATTAGTAAAATATTTACTTGCAACCTAAGTAAAAGTAATTGTTAAACCGTCTATGCATGTAAAATATCTTAGGGGCTAAGACACCACTTGGATAATTAGTCAAAATGACAAAAAAAATTTGATTATTGAAATAATTGTTGGAGATTCAAATGATTTAGCAAACTAGTCAAACATGAAAGTGAGGAGGCAAATATTATATTAGTTTCGTTTTAATTTGTTTATCTGATTTTTTGATTTAATGTTGAGTGAAATGTTTCAAAATATCCATGGGATCTTGTGATTGAAATTAAAGATATAGAAGTCATTTGCTTTTGCTTCTTGTGTAACAAAAATTTCAACTATTTTTAGTTGAAAACTCCAAATTTCAATTATGAGTGAAGAAGGCAAGGACAGTCATTATCACCACCATGGCCACCACTATGGCCACCACCACCACCATTATGGCCACCACCATCACCACCATGAGGAGACCCAACCACCCCCACCATGGCTACCAACAGCACCACCAGTAGTACCTGAATATGGCACTTTTCAACCACCTCCTCAACCAGTAATCGGTTTTCCTCTGCCAGTTCCTCCACCTGGATCAGTACTTGAACCTTCTGAATACTATGCTCGTGGCTATCAATCTGTTCCAGGTAACCCCTTTTGTTCTCATCTCAGAATTCATTATGTATAGCTGGATTGATTAATTTTCTTGAAATGATTCAATTTAAAAAGTTTGCGGCTTTTTGCAATATTTAGTTGAAAATCGGAGCTAGATGTGATCACCTTTCTGATCTAACACCACAGGCGATGGCCTGTGAATCTAACATGAAGAATGAATGTGCAGAGAGAAGAGAGTTTACAGAGAGAAGAGAATGATTACTTCATTGATTAGAAACTCAGTATGTAATACACGTATGTATATATACAAGTATTTTCAATGACTAACTGTAACTGATCCTAACTAACTATGAAGCTAATTGTAATTAGTTGTAACTAACTCTGTGATGTGACGTGTAACTGACTAACAATAATACTTAATTATAACAACTATGAATAGAATCTTCACTAATGTACATTGACACATTTACCCAACTCCTTTACACCCCCCATCAAGCTAGGAGCTATGAAAATATTTTTCATCCCTAGCTTGGACATCAAATGGTAATGAGGACTGCTGCCAAGAGCCTTAGTCAGAATATCAGCAGGTTGATCTGCTGAAGGTATGTGAGTAGTGATAATTAAACCAGCCTAACCACTTCAGCCACAGTCGAAGCCATAGCTCTATACTCAGCTTCTGCTGAACTTCGAGACACTGTGGGCTGTTTCTTGGATTTCCACGAAATAGGAGACTCTCCATGTTGTATCATATATCCAGTAATTGACCTTCTACTGTTAATACAAGATCCCCAGTCTGCATCACAGTAAACTGTCAAAGCATTGCTAGCAGTTGAAGACATCATAACTCCCAGTCCTGGTGCTGACTTCAAGTATCTCACATAGAATCTTCACTAATGTACATTGACACATTTACCCAACTCCTTTACACCAGGGATCATCCTCTCAATAGGACAGAAAATAAAGAAGGGATCTTCCTAGGAAGAACCTAGACGGTTTCTGGAATCATCCTTGACTTTGTTGTTCAAAGTAGCAGCTTGCCAAGTGGGAGAATGAGGACCGACAGATTGAGGGTATGAAGGCTATAACATAGAGTTGGAGGCCTTATTTCTGGGACATCCAGAAAATGCTAGTCATCATTAGCTCATTGGCTTGCTTTTTGATAGCTTTCTCTAGGCTAAGAAATTCGATGACTCATCCTAGGGCTTTTCTTTTTGTTCCCCTTTGTAATGCAATCGAAAAGAGACCAGAACCAAGTGAAAAAAGGTTTCATAAGCAAACATTATTGTGGAAATCAAGGGAGAGTGCCATTTTAGAAAAGATACAATAGTTTCCGATTCCCCCGAGCTTAGGGGTCAATTACGGGGGGTAACCGGTCGATCAACTCATTTTTTGTGTCTTTTGCAACATTAAGTTGAGTTATGGTGAAAAGTTTGTGTTTTTCTGCAATATTAAGTTGAGTTATGGTGAAAGTTTGTGTCTTTTGCAAAATACAGTTGAATTATGTTGAAAAGTTTGTGCCTTTTCCATCATTCAGTTGAGTTATGTCGATAATTTTGTGTCTTTTGTATCATTCAGTTGAATTATGTTGAAAAGTTTGTGTCTTTTTGCAACATTCAGTAGAATTGTGTTGAAAAGTTTAGTGTCTTTTGCAACATTTAGTTATATTGTGTTGAAAAGTTTGTATCTTTTCAACCACCTCCTCAACCAGTAATCGATTTTCCTCTGCCAGTTCCTCCACCTGGAACAGTACTTGAACCTTCTGAATACTATGCTCGTGGCTATCAGTCCGTTCCAGGTACCCCTTTTGTTCTCATCTCAGAATTCATTCTGGATTGATTAATTTTCTTGAAATGATTCAATAATTTGATTTTGGGTGAAAAGTTTGTGTCTTTTTGCAATATTTAGTTGAATTGTGTTGAAAAGTTTGTGTCTTTTGCAATATTAAGTTGAGTTATGGTGAGAAGTTTGTGTTTTTTGCAATATTAAGTTGAGTTATGATAAAAAATTTGTGTTTGCAATATTCAGCTGAATTATGTTGAAAAGTTTGTGCCTTTTGCATCATTCAGTTGAGTTATGTCGAAAAGTTTGTGTCTTTTGTATCATTCAGTTTGAATTATGTTGAAAAGTTTGTGTCTTTTGCAACATTCAGTAGAATTGTGATGAAAAGTTTATAGTCTTTTGCAACATCCAGTTATATTATGTTGAAAAGTTTGTGTCTTTTACAACATTCAGTTGAATTGTGTTACACAGTTTGTGTCTTTTTCAACATTCAGTTGAATTATGTCAAAAAGTTTGTGCCTTTTGCAACATTCAGTTGAATTGTTTTGAAAAGTTTGTGTCTTTTGTAACATTCAGTAGAATTGTGTCAAAAAGTTTGTGCCTTTTGCAACATTCTTTTTAATTATGTTGCAAAGCTTGTCTCTTTTACAACATTCAGTTGAATTATTGAAAAGTTGTGTCTTTTGCAACATCCCATTGAATTGTGTCGAAACGCTTGTCTTTTGTGACATTCAGTTGAACTATGTCGTTAACTATATAAATCAGTAAGCTGTCTTTCTTAGATTTAGTTGCAAGATTATTGATTTGTTATGACTTGCAAATTTCAGAATTCTACTGGATAAGATTAGGGACACTCTTTGTGTACTGCTTCACGTTTGTGGATTCTTTGCTTACATTTGTTTTCTGTCTTCCATATTTAGTAAATACAATGGTGGATCAAGGATCTAAACTTGATCGGTTCAAAATTTACGTTCTCACCATTATATGCAATGCACCTTATCATTTATGGGTTGAGATTTTAGTATTTGTTAAAACTTAAGTAATTTTTTCACTTACATAGAAAGTGCTGGTTGGGTTGAAGCTGTTTCTACATTATATATGCCTCTGAATAACTAAGTACAATTGCCTCCCTATGTTACTGTTAATTTTATTATCTTCTGTTGGTAAAAATGTTACTGATGAACTGTTACAGTGCAACATGTAAAGAGGTTTTGTTTCTGGGATTGTATTTGATCTGTTTGGATGTTCACTGAGCTCTGAAATTTGGGTCATAAACTGCTATTCGTTTTGTAGAACTGTTCGCAATTTTAAATTTATTGGCTCATTTCTTTGTATTTTAGGTTATGTGGTTGATGAGAGGAGACCTGTGACAGAGCCCCGCCTTCCTTTTGGTATTGGTCTTGGCTGGTTCTTGTAAGTTCCCTATTTTCCTTTACACTCGTAGACTAATGCCATCGTGTCCCAAGTCCATTTTCCACATATTTAGGCTTAAACTCAACAAAATTCATTTTTGGTAACACTAGTTTTTAGTCTATGACATGATCTCTTTTCCACTCATTCTGTGATTTTTATCATGTTGTGTTTTTTATCTGTTTCCAGGGTAGGTAGATATGTATTGCCACTTTAGAGGAGTCAATGACGTTAATAACCAAAAGCCGAAGAAATGAAAGAAACGTTCTGTTTGCTCTTTGAGAGATGTAATGCTGGACAATTTTTCTTCTTGATCTTTCATATTCCCCTCTTGAATAACATGTTTCAGGGGAGCATTAGGTGCAGTTTGAACTTCCACGCTAATTGTACGTGGCTCGAAACTATCTAGTGGTGAAAGGCTACTATGAGGGTTGAACAAACTCCTCTGCATTCGGTGTCTCCTTTTCGTCTATTTTCTTTATAGCCTCACTTATCAACATCGAACTTGAATCCCATCATTCATCAGCAAAACAAATTAAGACAAAGAGGCTGAAGGCGGAAGAAAATTATTACTTTTTTATGTATATATTGAAAATACTGTCTCCGCCACTAATACAGTAGTAGTACATATGGCACATTTAATCCTGCAGTTTGATCTTATGAATATAAAGGATGTTTCGATACAATGAAGTGATTTGGGGTTTTATTTTTTGAAGGTTCATTATTGGTTTCTTTCTTGCTGGCTTCCCTTGGTATGTAGCTGCATTTATCCCGCTTTGCAACAGATCAATTGATCATCGAGAGAAATCAGGATACGTTGCATGCACCATTGCTGTAAGTGATCTCTTTCATTCTTTTCTGGTGATGTTCTCAACTGCATGAGAACGAAAAATCAAGTGTGTTTTCACATTTGATTCGAGATTCATTTAAGAGTTTTGTTAATGAAATGGCACTCAACTAGTATAGCGCGATAAATATATGTTCTTCGTAGCTTAATGGCTCCATCAAACACTGTTGCATGTTGCAGGCTGTTCTTGCTGTAATTGGTAATATCGTATTTGGCTTGACATGGATATTATTAACAGCATAATGGTGATCAACATCTGTGGAGTATTCGTGTTCTAGCTAGTTGGCTTGATTAATGCACATTTTATTCAGAACATTTCTGTAAAACAAAAGTTACATGTTTTAATTAGATATATATGTGATTCTTGTATTATGATGAAATCATTCAAAACTATAAATTCTTGTTTGTCTTAAGATTTGATTATGACTTATGAGAGTGACTCCTTTAAACATGGCACAAAAGTTTCTATTAACTCTCAACGTCCATCTTTACTTGTCTAATACTCCTAAAAGTACGTAGTTGTACAACTTTACTTGTCTAATTTAGAAAATCAAGAAATAATTTACCATTTTGCGTCTATGTTACCTTTGTTATTAAATACTATCCATTCTCCAACATGAAGGAAAACCAACTAGTTAGTACAAATTGTTAGATTTTAAATTACCATTCTACTCATGACAGCAAATAGCTGAGGTTTTTTCCATCTTGTTTGGGGCATAACTTATAGAATAGTATAATATGAAAATATAACTTATACTTCACGAAAAAGTTATTTATTACGAAGGGCAAATAAATAAAAACTAGCATGAGAATTAAAGTGCAAATGACCCTTGAGTGCATATATGATATATCATGAATGTCACACGCAAATCGCAATAAGGGATTATATATCTTTTCTCGAAAAATTATGTAGTGTACAGATATTACATATTAGTTATTATTAATTTAATTTTAAAACATTCTCTATCAAATTTCTGGCTCAATCACTGCACAAATGTCATGAAAACAATGTTGTAATTTATATAATTACCTTCATTGAATGTGTTAGAAGATACCTAGACAGTAGACATAACCATTGAATCTTTCTATTGTTTCAATACGAGGAGGCATCCTTAAAAAGCACATATATCTAGAACCCAAAAAAACATCAAGTGGTGTTCTAAAACCATAAACTAATATATAAATAAAGAAATCAAATTATCGATCACCTCACCTTATATTATAAATTTAAATCATGTACCCATCCTCCTCGGTAGTTTTTACTTTTCGAGATTCAAACTATGTAAACTCTTATCAATATTTTAAAAATACATTTTAATCATCATATTGACTTGAGAAGAATTACAACTTGTAGTACTTTCCGTATAGTTATTTAATATTATAATCTAATTTAATTTTAAAGACTAATCAACTCGACTCTCGAACAAAGAAAAATGTCATTGATGAGGGAGTGCTATTCCACATTGTTATGGTCCAACTAATAACCCCCTACTATAGTCTATAACAATTGTGTTATTTCAAACCTTCTTTCAACAAATTATTATAAAACCACAATTTCTAGACTCTAGATATATATAAATTTTTATTACATTAGGTGTAGTAAAATTATATACGAATTAATGGTCCCCAACCTATAGGTTATAGGTATGACATGATGATAATTAAGTGAAAGCATATTCCAAATAAAATTGTATAGCTGTGAAATAATAATTGCGATGGTAATAATATATTTTTTAGGAATAGGATGCTAAACGTTAAAATTTAGGTAAAGAATAATATATATCCTATATGTTTACAAATGAAAAAGGGATCCCTTTTTACTTTGCTTTAATTTCCATTGTCCCTATTTTATGGTCAAAATTAAAAGAAATTAATGAGTATAATAATTCCATGTTTAATCAATAGGTGACAAACTTCTATATAGAGAGATAGAAATAATATATGTTATGTACTCATATATTCTTTAAAATGAAGAAATAACAACATTAAAGAGATATCTAACTTGCTCTCTTTTTTATTTTTGGTTGGTGTGGTTATAAGTTGTTGTCGATTTATTTTTTTATGAATAACTGAAAATGAAAAGTAGTTTATTTAAATTTAATCGAAATATATATGTAAAAATAAAATTTTATTCTCTCGAATGTCCAACACATGAATTTGTTTTTGTATTATTAGTTCTTCTTGATGAATGTACACATTGATATATTGAACTTGTGATTGAAAAATTAAAAATGAAAGAAATTATCTCAAGAGCTTTGTTTTTTTATACATTTTGAAGTTATCTTTTTCAAGATCAAGGGGTAAAAGTAAAATTGTAAAAATTTGTCACGTTTAAGTGTAATTCAATCTCAAAAATTAGTTTAATAGGTAAGGGTTGTCAATGTTATATTAAAAAGATCACCCGATGTGAGATTCTTCACAAACTTTTTACGCGCACAGGACTGGACATTTGATGCGCGAACAATTTAATATGGGCTTAACATAAAAAATGAGAATTGAAATGAGTCCGACTTTGATACCATGTAAAGATATGGACACATGAGTCTAACTCAATCTCAAAATCTAGTTCAAGAAGTGAGAAATGTCAAGACTATATTAAAGAGATCACCTGTCAGATCTCTTCAAGGGTCGATGTGTGCGACTCTTCACAAGCCCCTCATGCTCAAGGCTTGACATATGGTGCGCGAGCAACGTAATACCGGGGGGGTGGGTGGGGGGTGGGGTGGGTTTCAATATCACGAATAAGAGCTCTGACACCATATAAAGATATATCACTTATGCTTAACTCAATCCTAAAAACTATCTCAAAAAATAAAGACTACACATATCATATTAAAAAGACCGTTCATCCCTCGAAGGGCCATATAAATGTCACAAGAGACCACATGGTGAACCCATATAAAAGAAAGTCAACCTAATAAAAATGACATGACTCATGAGTAGGGGATCCCATTCTTATTGTAAAATCGGCCTTTCTGTTCTTCAATAGTCTCTTCTCCTCATTGGATAATTTTCTAAGATTTAATTAGTCATGTATTTTGACTTATTTTAAGTAGCGTTATAAATTATATGTATAATTATTTTTTAAATGATCTGACAGTATAACAACAGAGAATAACAAGCATAATACAGTGTGTGCAACGAGATTTAATTCATAACAAGTCAACTTATTAAAATAATTGTAAAATCATTTGTAATGCCTCTCAACAACCAGCAGATCTAAACTAATAGAGAAAAAATTCAAGAATAAATTAATTAAACGCATGTGGAAGATTTGCAATTTGTAATGTGATGTTTTAAAAAAATAAATTATTAAACTCATCATCTTGAACTCGTAATTGAAAGACAACCATGCAAATTAATTGATAGTTGATTGAAAAAACAGGAAATTAATGAAGAATTATTATATTTAAGTAGGAAAGTTTATTAGAAAAAATGTAACTAGGCAACAAAAAACAGTGCGATGTAAAACTACTAGTACTACTACTATAATATTGTGGATTTGTGGTTTATTATATTTCTATTTCATATAAAATTAAAATTCATATTTTCTAATAAAATATTTACATGATTTAGTACTACTCGTTTAAATGTCGATAGATTGAATATTTTATTTTAAGATTTTTCTTTTTATAAATTTGATGTCCGATCAAATATCGTTATATAAAATGGGATTGATGAAGCATTATTATAATTGTAGAGATGCAAAATGTAATTAGAAGGGTTAAGATTAAGATAGTACTACTAAAGAAGATTAGGATTAATCACTCTTACCTAGTACTTAATAACTACTAATATTAATTTTGTGATAAAGGGTTAGCTAGCTACAATTATACAAATCATTAATTTTTCTAAATATTATAATTAGTGGTCCATAGAGTGAAAGAGATTCCCAGAATCACTACAGTGCAAGCTAGTAATAAAACAAGGCTAGCTAGCTAACACCTACACTATTAGGTGTTTGGTTCTCATGTTTAGTTGGTTAATTAAAATATGTTTTCTAAGAAAACAAACTCGTCGTAAATGAGGAAAACGATCTCCCTAATATAATTAAGTAGAAAAATAAATTTTATAAGGGACAATTTAAGTTTGATCATTTTCTCTTTCTCACCCACCCTTTGAACATCCCAATCCTGAACCCTCACTCTCACCCCATTCTGCTCACATAGTATATGCTAGATTGTATAAATACTTTTGGAATATTAATATTTTTTTGCTTACTTATCAAATACTAGAAACTAAATAAGAAATATACCTATTTAATTTCCAACAAAATATTTTTCATGAAAAACACTTTCCTTTATACCAAACACTAATTGAATTGCTTCCTCCTTTCTTATACACATGTAACTCCTCTTGTCGTGCAAATAAAGTCTCACATTGTAATTTTCGTATGTTGTTTTAGCTCTAACACGAATTGATTGATTAAAATAGTCGTCAGAGGCATATTCAAGATTTTGAAAAGATGGATGCACTATTACAAAATGGTGAATCTAAGATATAAGTTGAATCGGTTTGACCTTTAGATTTTTAACATTGAATCTGTTAAATTTTTGAAATTATAGATCCAAAATTAATTTTAATTTATTCAAATAGTATATATATAGTTTCACGATTGATTATATGATATATCCTCCAATACTACTAGTTTTAATATGCATTTTTGGTTAATTATATAAAAAGTTTACATTGCTAACTTTTTTTAAAAGAATTACCAACATGATAGACCTGAAAATTTTGAAAGATTAAACGCAAATAAATAAATATATATCAATTAAAAAGTCAAAATGCTATCAATAACCACTAGGGTAGGTGTTACTTGATTTTAGAAAGAAAAAAAATAAGATAGATATAAGATTTAATTTCACACCTCAAGAGCTACATCCAATTATCAACATCGCATTATATGATACTTTGAGTGTGAATTAATTCATACATCTATATTAACATTTTTTTTAAAAGAAAATATAAGACTTATTTATAATCTCGGAGGGGTAGGGGTTCACGTGAACCCACGAACCCCCCTCCCCCCTAGATACGCCCCTAAAAATAGTCTAAAAATACTCTTAACATGGTTCTGTTCTAATTTTGAATTTCTAGTAAGAAATTCTTTGAATATGTACAGATTATAATTAGAATCCAATAACTTAAAAGAAATAGAATCTCACCTTATATGTAGCTTCTATTACTTTTCAAATATCAATATGAGACTTCGTTTACACATCCAATGATTTTTCTATATAACATGGCTTATAAATGGCACATAAACTCATTCTTTCCTTCTCAATTAGTAACCTTTTCCCTCTCCATTTCTCTTCATAAAGAAAATGGTTGTACTAATCTTGTTTTTAGCTTTGTTAGTGATCATGATATGGGTGTGGAGAATGGTGAATTGGGTGTGGATTAGACCAAGAAAAATAGAAAAGTGCTTTAGGAAACAAGGATTGAATGGACATCCTTATAGAACATTATATGGAGACACAAAGGAGATGGCTAAGTTGACTAAAGAAGCAAAACTTAAACCAATGAAGCTCACTGATGACATTCTCACTAGAGTCCTCCCTTTCTATCACTATACTCTCAATAAGTATGGTAAGATCCATCCTTCTTTTATTTTTTCCTTTTGAGTTTTTTCCTCTTTGCCTAGCTAGATTTACATAATCGTGGTGTTCGGGTCAACTTCTGCACACTTTAACTAATTATTACACAGGTATATACCTTTCTATATATCACCAGCATAAGGTACGTACTGTCGTATCAAGTAACTTTGTTCACCAAAATTTGGATAGATAAAATAAATCACCTAGAATTTGTACACACGAGACTTGTAATTCTCAACACTAGTTAGAGGTAAATCCATAATTGATTGCATGATAAAAATGGTAACTAACCTAGTATAATAACATATTGTAACATGTTATACTACAGTGAAAAAGAAATCTTTGTATTTACACTCTCAATGTATATATTAAAATACTTATGTATAAATCCTTTATTTTAGAAAAAAATAAGGAAGTGAAAATCATATATATCAAGATTCAAATGGGATGTATGCAATGATTAAGGTGATTCTTACAATTAGTACCAACTTGAGCATGGAAAATGATCAATTTGTGTGCATCATTAAGTTCAAGATAGCTGGTTGGCTAATATGCAAAAAAATTATACCAAATATGAAGCTAGTTATATTTTTAAAATGAGGAGGAAAAAAAACAAAGGACCAACTTGTTGTAAAATATATTTAGAGATCTATATTAATTGCAGAATATTTATTTTCTTTCAACTCTAAAATATTCTATGATAATTGCAGAATATTTACTTTCCTTCAAGTTTAAGATCTATATTACATTAATTCTACAATATTTATTTTCTTTTTAATTAGCATCAATAAGAAAAATAACAATTTTTTCTTATGTTTTACCCTTTTATTACCTAATAAAAAAATGCACTCTTTTATTTTTTAATTAATGCGATGAATTACTATCATTTACTCTTTTAGCATGTTATAATAATAAGTAGCTTATTATACCATCAAAGAATATGGTGCAGTGGATGAGGTTTCTCCTTTTTTAACCATAGAGTTGTGTTGTGTATGATTTATGAAATAATCCTTGGCAGAAAGCGTTTCTATGCAACGCGAATAGTGATAATAATTTTATTTGCTCGAGAAAAAAAACATGTATAAATTAGAGGGAGAATTAAATAATAATTGTGTAATGAAAATAGGGAACTTTCGGGAGTATAGCTTATTATCAATTTTATATAAATGGAATATATAATTTGTTATTTGTGCGTGTTTCCCGGTAGGAAATGAGATCTTTTAATTTTTATATATATGTGGTCCTATAAATACATCCAATCATCGACCATATTTGTTTGTGGTCCATTTTATTTGTGTTTTTTAAATAGTTAGGGTTCAAACTCATGATCGTTTTTTGACGTATGCCACAAGATTATTTGAATTTACAGATGTCTTTGCTTATTCCTTTTTTTATTAAGATCCGTAAAATGTCTGACTTGTGGTTTTTTTAAACTTCGAATTTAAGTTTTATGTACTGACATTGAAATATCTTTTATTAATTAAATATTGTTTTATTTGACTTGTTATTTGCAAAAATAGAATTGCTTAAATTTTATCGTCATAAAAAAAAATACAAAAATAGATTGAACCTTTTGGAACTACCATGCATGCACAAGATGCCCACACTGAAAAATATTTTATTTTCTAAAAAATTAAAATGAAGAAAATAAGGGACTAAAATATATTTGTAAACTAGAAGAGAAAGTAGTTATTACTCCTATATAATAACTATATGTAATAAAGGCATACTTTGTCTTAAATCTTAATAGTGTATGATTTAGTGATCAATGAGGTGTGATAAGAAATATAAGGTCTCAGATTTAATCTTTTATAGTGACAAAAAATATTAGTAGGTGATTTCTTTCGGTCGGTATTTGTGCTGATAGAAGATAGATATTTTATGAAATTTATTAAGATGCGTATAAGCTGATTCGAACCAATAAAGTGATGATTAAGGAGAAGATGTCAGCACCAAATTTAGGATGTAAGAGAAATAGTTCAAGCCTCTTTTCTACTAATTTTAGTTATGAATAGCAAGTTGAATTACATATTTTGCATCCAAACTTTCCTCTCATGTTATCATAATTAGCTCTACATTATTTGATCATAGTCAATTTATAATCTAATTTTGAATTGTCAACCTTTAAGAAAAACAAAAAAATTGCTAGAATTATGTTTATTCATTAATTAAGTAGCACTAATATTGTTAAAGTGGATCAATTTAAATCTTCTTGATGAAAATTATGACTTCGTTACTGCAGGTAACAATTGCTTCACATGGATAGGTCCAGAGCCTAGAATTTTCGTAATGGAACCAGAATTAATAAAGGAAATAGTAATGAACAACAACATTTTCAAAAAACCAAAACCTACTCCATTGGTACAACTTCTTGTGAGTGGCATCTCAAGTTATGAGGACCAGAAATGGCCAAGCACAGGAAAATTCTTAACACTGCGTTCTACGCCGAGAAATTGAAGGTAAAGGGTATTAGTTGTTGGTGGAAATTCAAGTAAAATTAATTTAAATAAATAAATAACAATAGTCAAGTTGAAAAGTGAATATTTCGCTCGCTTTTAAAGAGATTCTAGTAAAATTTTCACTAATTCAACTAGCAGTAATAATCTCATGACTTGTCTCCTCGATCCAAGCAGATATAACCGTTTGACTCAAAAATACTTTTAGATTAATTGTTGAGTCCAAAACTTCACCACTAAAAACACATTCATTCAACAAAATAACACTCTTTAATAATAATTCTCTTCTTTCATTGAATAAATAACATGGTAATAGATTAATAAATTAATAAGAACATGTGATAATGATAGTGGATAAATAATGTAGCAAATTATGGGTGAAGAATGATAAGAAATACGACAACTTTAGATCATCCTTGAATAGTGCTTTAGAAAAAAAATTATGGCCACTATCTTATGTTTATACCACTAACATAATATATATAAAGTAATATAATACTATTAACTATTTTAATATTAAAACATTTACTATGTATTTACTTATTTAAATCTTGATTCTGTATTTATAGTACATTTCGATTGGAATAAATCATAGTAACATTTTATTATATGAAGTAATATAATACTATGCACACTTCTCTACTACGTATTTAATGATTTAAATCTTGAATCTGTCTATATCGTATGTTTCGATTGGAATAAATCTTATAACATTTTTTTTCCTCTTGAAATTGTATAGTGTATGGTGCCAGCAATGCACAAAAGTTGTGAGGATATGATGAACAAGTGGGAAATTCTAATTTGCAATAAGAATAAATCATGTGAATTGGATGTACATCCATATTTTGAAGATTTAACAAGTGATGTGATTTCAAGAACAGCATTTGGAAGTAGCTATCAAGAAGGGATGAAAATATTTCAACTTCAAAAAGAATTAGCTGAACTCACACGTCAAGCTTTCCAATCTGTTTATATTCCTGGATGGAGGTACAAATTTAGTATATATTAATGGTGTAAATAATTTTTATACTAATAATAATATATGCATGTTAATTACCTATTTTATCACCCTATCACCTCACTCAGAGGATATCTACAAGTAAGTCTATGATTTGTAATCTCAAGAATAAGATAAATTATCTATTATATGAAATATAGGTAAGGATGATCTGATAGTATAAAAAAAAATTTATACGCATAAATGGTATATATAGCTTAAAATATTGTACGTATATCCAAAGGTGTGTGGTTTAGTGGTCTTAGGTTTAAATCCCAGTAGAAACAAAAACACTTGGTGATTTAATTTCATCATGTCTATTTAGGCGCTAATGGATAGAGTTATCTAATATTTGTGTGTCTAAACTTTAATAGCTTGAAAGATAACTCAAGTAAAAGACAGTTTTTTCCATCTGGTGTTCGGTATCCACATTGGAGTCCAATTCCATCCGGATTCACATTGGAATTAAAGTCTCACATTGGGGTAAAGTGCTCTCTAACAAAGGAGACTTCAGACCTCTGGTTAAGGGTGAAGGAGTACTTACCACTCCACCACAATCCTTGTTGGTCATGTAAAAGACAGTTAATCTATTACAACAAGTTTCTCAATATATCCAACGCAAAATGGTGAATAAACATATCTAGGAGGGATCGTGTCTTTCAAGTCGCACATTATTTGTTATGAAATGGTGAATAGTCATTGGTTGAGTTAATGTATATGACATGGTCTGTTACATGTAGTTATATTTTAGATGATCTGATTGTCAGTATTATTATATTAAGTTATTGTGATAATTTCAACAGGTTTTTACCAACAAGAAGAAATAGAAGAATGAAAGGCATTGACAATGAACTCAAAGATACATTAAGGAAGATTGTCAACAAAAGAGACAGATCCATGAATTTGGGAGAAACTCAAGAGGATTTGTTAGGCATTTTATTAAAGTCCAATATGAAGGAAATTCAACAAAATGGGAGCAAATTTGGTATGACAACTGATGAAGTAATAGAAGAATGCAAAGTATTTTATTTTGCTGGCCAAGAGACCTCTTCAAATTTATTAGTTTGGACTATGGTTTTATTAAGTGTGCACCAAAATTGGCAAACTAGAGCTAGAGAAGAAGTTCAACAAGTCTTCCACAACAATAATCCAGATTTTGAAGGGTTAAATCGTCTCAAAATTGTGAGTATAACAATAATTAGCCTTAGAGCTTTTATTTCTATCTTTAATTCCTTTTATATACTGTATTCGTTTCAATTTGTTTGTTTTGTTTTGACTTGATATAGAATTTAAGAAAGTAAGGAATACTTACGAATTTTGTCATCTTAAATTAAAGATATGTTAAATATACCAAAATACTCTTTAATCTTGTAGTCTTAAACATGTCATGTGAAATTTTGAAATTAAAGAATTGTCAAAAAAAGATAAAGATACTCTTTTTTAAAGAGACTAATAAGAAAAATAGGACAATCAATTTGAAACGAATATCTCTTTCTGAGGTTAGGAGTGGTTGAAGAATAAATAAGATCAAGATTTACATATGTGATTTAGTTTGACTATATACGAAATTTAAGAAATATGAAAAAACTCAAAACTGTCCTTAAATTAATGATTTTTTAAAAAATAGAATAGTACACGTAAACTTTTTGTCAAATAAGCATGACCCAACATGAGTAAAAATTGATAATGTCATCCCTTAACTATTAACCAAATATGAAAATGTGTCGTTTCTTGGAGACCGACTAAAGTATCACATAAATTAGGACAAATGGACAAAAGTTTATAGCCAAATTTGAACATGTACAATTGAAATCTAACATTTGCTTCAATTGTTTTTATTAATATAAACAGGTTACTATGATTCTGAATGAGGTACTAAGGTTATATCCACCAGCACCATATTTCCTAAGAAAAGCAAATCAAGAAACAAAGCTAGGAAAAATGAATATTCCACCTGAAGTAATCTTGATGATACCAACAATATTTATTCATCATAATGAAGAATTATGGGGTGTTGATGTTAAAGAATTCAAGCCAGATAGATTTTCTCAAGGAATTGCAAAAGCAACAAAGGATAAACTTTGTTTTTTACCTTTTAGTTGGGGTCCTCGTATTTGCATTGGCAATAATTTTGCTATGATGGAAACAAAGATTGCCTTAGCTATGATCCTTCAACGTTTTGAATTTGAGCTTTCTCCATCTTATACTCATGCACCTACTTATGTGGTTACTCTTCAACCTCAATGTGGTGCTCACTTAATCTTGAAAAAGTTATAGGTAAACATTGTTCGGATTCTTCAAGAAATTTATTGCTTTTCAAGGATCAACTTTACGTACTTGTTTTGAAGAGTTTGAACAACATGTGTTATAGGTCATGTATTATTCTGGATTTGTTATTATGAGTCATGGAAGTAGTCCTGTGTGCATTATTGTAGGTTGTTTATATTATAAAATTTGTGTGCCTAACAGATCATCTTTCATGTTGTTAACTTCTTTCTTTGTCCTTTATTTGGGCTTTTTGTTATCCATTTAGAATTGTGGTACTTTCTTCATTGTCATGCTAGTGTATACTTTGTGTTCAATGATAATTTACAAGTTAGCTTTTAGATTTAATTCTTCTTTTTGAAGAATTTTTAGTGCTAGTAAAACTGTTTTTATTTTTATTTTCGAAGGGACTCTAGAAATGTGAGAATGGCTTGAATAGAGCACATGAACAATAATAATTTATTAGCCACAAGTGATAAGTTAAAAGTTTCAAAATCAAGCAATAAAACATCAGCAATTTTCATTTTTCGAAAATCAAACAGTTCAAATTTTAACTGAAATTTGTGCATGAAATCTTCAATTTTTTTGAAATAAAATTTATATATTTATAAACTACATAAAAATATTATAAGTCATAACAATTGATATTTCAAAATATTTAAAAAATCTATAAAAAAATTTACGATCAAAATCAGACTTATTTAAATCTCAAAATCCAAAAAATACCACATAAAATGAGACGGGGGAGTAATTAAGAAAATTGGACGGCGTGTAATTAAGAATTTGGGTTGATTAGTCAACCATTAGAAAACTTTGAATACAAATCCTTCTTTGTTTGTTTTGGTTCATTAAGAACATTTTTCTAGAAATCAGAAAAACCAAACTTTTACGATTGGCTAAGCTCATAAACGTAAAAATACTTTAAAACACATTGAGAAGATTTCTATATTATTACTTATAAATGGCCACAAGTTTTTATTTCATATTTGGTAGCTTCAAATTAACAAAAACAGTCTAATTAGAAGAGTTTAGTTAATATTTATGCAGCCAAAACAAAAAATTAGAGTGAAACAGTTAACAGATTATCGAAATATTGATAAACTTTAATTACTTCTGATGAACCTAATCTGATTAGGCACTAAGAAATTCCCAATTGACTGTTTAAAATCTAAAGGTAAAATGTAGGGCAGAATCCATGAACTAAAACACGATGAAGATTAAGCACGATGAAGGAACGTGCAGAACCTTGAGACTGCCCTAATATGCATATAGGCCGAGTGAAATTGAATTCCCACACATAAGAAGGAACTCATTTGGATCGACCGTAGTAAAAAAAAACAAATGAATTGAAAAAAAATACAAGGAAATGTGAGACCTTTCTCTACAGAAGCAATCGATGGAGTACAATTGCAGAGATGAAGAAAGGACTGATGATTAGTATATGCCCGCAACGGAACTAGAGCGCCATTGTTTCATAAGCTCGCTCTGATCTCTCATAGGCAATGTTCTAAACCCTAGCTTCCGTGCTCGCTTATATAGAGTTTTATTTGTTGGGTTGGGCCTTATACTTCAGCCCATAACATAACCAAGAGGGTATGTTTTTGGAATTTGAATTACACTACAAAACCGAACCGAAAATCAAATCAAACCGCAAATTGAGTCAAACCGAAAAAAAAACCCGACTAGTGATTTGGTATTGGGAAAAAAAATCCGACTATATTTGGATTGGGTTGGTTTCAACTAAAATAAATCAACCCGACATTATATATATAATTTTAAAATTTTATTTTATACGTAAAAATATTTACTTTGATATAATTTTTAAATATTTCTTATACTTTTTCATAGTTTTTATCTTTTAATATATTATTTCATGTTTGAAAGTTAGAATTCTTAATGACCCAATAAAGATTATAGTCCATAAATATTGGTAATTATAATAAAGCTTAAATCAAAATCAAATTAATATTAATGCAAAAAGAAAATCAATTCAACACTAAGAATGACAATAATATTGAATATTTGTTCTTTAGTTTTACATAGGTTAAGACAATTAAAATACATAATCTAATTTTAATTTCCTTTAATATTTAGTCATGTAACTAATAATTGTTAAACTTCTTTTAGCTTGATTTAGTACTTTTAAATTATGATAATTTTCATTATGACTTATTAATTTGCAATATTTATTTTACGCGATTTTATTATTATTATTTTGAATATTTTAATGTCATTAATCATATCATATTTTGTGTTATTTTCTTAAGAAACACTTAGATAGTTGTATTTTGGTAGGACTAAAGAAATATTTGAAGCACAAGTAATTATATGTTTGTATGAATACTTTACCGAAAAAACGAAAAACCTAAAAATATCCGAAAAAACCCGAGTTTTATTGGTTTGATTTGGTTTATAAATTCAAAAATCCAACACAAATGGATTGGTTTGATATTTTAAAAAACCTGAACCAACCCGACCATGTACACCCCTACTCCTAGTACATAACCGTGATCTTTAACTTAGTCTCGATTGTTGTATATGTCTCGTAAGTTGTAACCTTACGTATATATAGGACACAATACACATGTCTACTTATTCAACATAATATATTTAACATAAAATTGTGTCATCATGTAGGCCAAGTTAAACGGCACATTCTTATGATGTGATAAATGTTTGTGAAGATATTTGATATCTTAGTCATTACCTAGATGATATAGCTTTTAAGTATATATAATAGGCGCTTTAATACTTTTGTACTCGCAAGTTAGCTAAGTTTGCTTTAATCTTATAATTACTCTCATGAATATTTTGTCCCTCAATTTTTTGCTTGATTTCATACCTTAAATCAAAATATTTTAAACCATAGACATTACAAATGTACAGAAAATCAAATTCATGGTTTCAAGTTTCAACTGATTCCTTAGAATATGTACAAACTCTCTTCAGCACTTCAAAAACTACTTAGCCAAAATGAATTAGTAGCAATCATTATTCAGAATTGGTTCTTCCTAGAAAGAAGGCAATAATCAAAGGAGGACTGGTAAAAAATCACATTTCCCATTTCAATTGTATATCTTCAATACAATACATTGTTTTTGTTGTCATAACGAGCCAAAGCCCTCTGGCGGCCACACCTGCATGTGCAAACAAGAAGGGTCAGCTAACTAGTTTTACCTACCAGATTTTCAAATGGTTACTACACCCCAAATGTTTGTGCATCAATGACCATATATCGATATCAATATTGTTGGTGTGAGTAGATGAATTTGCAAAAAGAAGTGTTCCAAGTAAAGGTACACTACTATCATATAATCAAATTAAAGACTTCAAAGTAGACAATGGTTATGTTAAGAATAGGGAAGCTCTTATCTTGTTCAATATGTAAAGACAGATAAACTACAACTGCATGTGAGACTTGGAGTTAGCAGAGTTCTGGATAAACTTGCCTAAGCAACAGGCTGGAGTTCTCTAGTCGTAAACCGAATTTTTAAGGGGAAACACCAGATGCTAATCTATCCAGAGGTAAAGTTATTTCAGAAGTTGAGGATTCATTACTATGATTTGAATGACTTTATTAACAGTACGACCTAGATAATTGACCAAATGGAAAAATTCAACTCATGCAAACCTTTCGAAGAAAACACCAATCATCAATTTCTAGGCCAAGTAGTTAGGGCCTATTTGATTCTTCATAGGAATAACATATGTACGCTTTAGTCTGTGTAAGATTCTCTATTTTTTGGCGTACATCTTGTGTAAGTGGTTATTCCCCAGAACATCAATAAGTTATTACTTTACCCACACACAACAATGCAAGCTTTAGAACCTTTATAAATAGAAGAATGCAGATAAGTTTAGTCTCACTTAGATAGTAAAGATAATATAACTTACTCTATACAACACTTTTCCCAGGATAAGGCCACAAGGGATTGGCCCCAGTTGCCGTGAATCCTTCGAAGCAAAGATGTTATCTCCCTGAATCCAAACATGCCCCTTTGGAACCTAGATAACCCCACACCAAGATAAACGAGGAGGAGGGGAAAAAACCAAAGAAACTATTAGAATATAGGGCATTACAAATAAAACTACAGGATATTATGGAATGAGAAAACTAGATATCACCTCATTCACATAGTAAGCAGTGGAATGTCACCTCAAAGATGAAGAAACTTTTTCTCTTCCAACTGTATATATTTATTATCACAGGAAAGAATTCCAAGACAGTTTCAAATTGTTATTTCAGGTGGTATTCCAGAAAATCAGAGTGAAACTACTAGAAGCATACAACATCTAAATAAAGTAAAAAATAGAGCATTTTTTTGAGAAGTGCTTCAAATAAAATCCTCATTTATATATAACGATTAGAGGGCAAGGCCCATTGTCTACCGAGTTTCAAACTGTGCACTACTGACACTTCGGGTTTACTCGGTTATTAAATAAAGAAAATTGAATTCTCATTTTCCCGTTTACTTTGAGATGAAACGTGGCAAAAGAAATAGGTTCACATACTCTGCCAAAATGAAAGGACCTTGAATATAAGAAACTGAAGGTGAGCCTGGAAACAGCAATGAGAGAGAAAACCTAAGTGGGTAAGCATAAGGAAGCTTGGTGGCATGCCTAACATTGTGTTCAGAGCCCAAATTCAGGTTTCTTAAGAGAATTGACACCACACTATCCTAGGTCCTGGCAATTACAAATACTAAAGAAGACAGTAAGATCCATTACTCAGCACGTGACGGGGCACCTTTTTGCACACCATATATTAATAAAAATTAGAGTACTTCCCAAGCAATTGGTGGATGTTTTTGGTCATATGCGGTTCTCTTTACAACAACTATGCCTCAATGCTAAACTAGTTAGGATCCAGTGCTTCCATTAAATTATCTTCTTAACTAGCTTTGGACAAATAGTTGGTGTTTTGAAACAACTTCACTCCACTGGATTTTATATCTACCAATGTTATCTTTTAACATTAATCATCCTAGAGTCCGAACCACTGGCAAACAAAT